CACCTTTGACGACAGCACACTTACTCGTCTAACATTTGAGAGTTCTCTGCCGTAGGGAAATGTTTTGGATCTAGATTACTTGCGCCAACTTTCATCACTTCAACAGAATATATCACTGCAATTTCCCCATGCTATTATTGCATCTCCGCTCAATACATGGCCCGGTCTTGAGCCGGGTCAATTGCAGTCACAGGACAACAACTACTACCTACTCGACTATCTTAACCACAAAAGGACTCACCTCCAAATATCGATTTATTTGAACGACGTCGACACCGAAAATCACCTCTTCAAATCTGCCCACAGGATCAACATGTACATAGTGTATCGAGACACAGACCTTCTTAGCACCGTATCTTCCATGGTAGCAGCTTACCGTGATATTGATTTGGTGGAAACAGTTTCAACGACAAACGTGAAGAGCATTATTGATTTTGGAAGATTTTACATTCGAGAGAACACCAAGTCCCCATACAGTTGCTTGCTCCATATACTATTCGTGTTGGAAGCTGTATTGCACGGTTCAATTTTTCTATTTATTTATTTGTGCATTGCCAACCAGCACAACATACGGGCAGTATTTCAACTCATTTGCGGCTGGGCGACAGAAATTCTTGTTTCTGCTACAGCAGCGGTTAATATTGTACGCATTATGAACGGATACGAAACATGGGAAATCACGTTTCAACCTCTGATGTCGTTCTCAAGATTGTCCTATGTTGTCATCATTGTCATGTTGAGCTCCCGCAACCTCCTCCGCACAATTGATGACTTGAATTGTCGAAACTCCTACGAAAGTTCAAGTGGTATTCATAAGAGGTTGTTTCGGTTTTATACCGGTAGCTCACTATTGAGAACAGGGAACAATATCAAGATAAGAATACTCAAGTGGTTTTTTGCAGGGTTTTCTGGCAATGAAGGGGAAACCATTTTGATCCCGAACATTACCAAAATAATGATTGTGAACTACTTTGGTCTATTCCTCTTGTATTCGTTACTAAGGGGTGTCTTTACTATCACTTTGAATGGTAATCATCTACAATACTTACTGTCTCGATTGAAACGTTTTTTTCAAGCTATCTGCATTAGTT